ACACCTCGCGGGACGGGCTGCGGCCTCGGGTTCAGGGGCCTGGAGAGGGGACGCGGTGGAGGTCGGTGCGTGGTGGCGGGTGGGGGGGACCTGCACCCGGGGCAGCCGAGGATTTGGGGTGTTTCACCGCCTACGGGGAAGAGAACGCGTGTCCCGCTCTCCGGCTCAGCTGAGAGGATGACCACGGTAACTAACGCTCGTCCCGGGCGCGCTCTCCGCGCTCCGCGTCCGCGCGTGCGTCCCCGGGGGTGGGGCGGGAAGGGGCGGGGCTCGGTGCGCTGCGCCCGCCCCGGAAGCAGAGGTGGAAGCCCACGGAGCCCTCCCTCTGCCGAGTGGCTGCTTTGCGATGCCTGGTCCCCTTGAGCGACTTTCACGCACCGAAGATGCCTTCCGTGAGGGACGCGAAAGAGGAGGTCCTTCTAGCGACGCAGGAGGCCAGCCTCTGAGGATTGCAGGTTCGAGGCCAGCTGGGGTAGACAAGCCAGTTAACCAGCAAAATGCCAGACTGGAGGTAGAGCGCAAGTGGAAATAGCCGAGCGCGAGCGTTGGGACCCGAGGTTGAAAGCCCCAGTCTCACCTCCTGCTCCCCCTTGGCGGGCTTCTCTGCAGACCATGAAGTAGGAAGTGAGCCCTGGTCCCACTGCACCGCCGGCCGGCCGAGCCCACCTGGTCCTCAGGGCTCATCCGGGAGCATGTGACCACCTCTTCGCGGTCTCTCCAAACCCGCAGAGTCCTTGATGGCCCCGCCCAAAGCCCCAAAGCAGGCACCACAGTCTGCCAAAGTAAGTACTTGAGTTTGCTGTGCAGTCTTTGGTAACCACGGGCCCCAACCTTCTAGGTTTTATCTACCATGCTATCTTCTCTGATAAGATAAAAAGACGATCTGTAGCCCACACTCGACTCACAGTTTTCTAGACGCCTCCTGCACCTGCCTCATCTTGGGCTATTGCTGTGCTTTTTAAAACTCAGCTTAGAAGGACCTCTTGTTTGCTATTGCTTCTTCAGTACCCATCCCACAGCCATTTGCTCCTCACTTAAGGCACCTTAAGTGTCTAGTTTGCCTTCGAAAGCCTCACTCCTTAGCCATTAGACTGCAGTGCAGCCCAGCTTTTTGCTATTTGTTTGAAGATGGAGTCTTGCAGACTTTTCTGCCCAGGATGACTTTGAACCAAGATCCTCTGGATCTCAGCTTCCTGTGTAGCTAGAGTGACAGGGATGAGCCACTGGCTCCCCCTTAGGCTAAGTATTTCTTCCCTTATGCAGAGGCATTCCTGGGTTCCTTCACATGGTTAATAATCTCATTTTTCATCAAGGGCACATGGAATGGAAGCCCTTGAAAGTTAATGGCTTCCTTCTGCTCCTTGGATAAAAGTCCATTGTGTTAGTTGACGAAGGTTGTAGGCCAGAGCTGTCTGAAAGGTATTTCAGACTGAACTCTCTCTGACTATCCTAGTTACCTATAAGCTAACCACACTGATCTGATTTGGTTTTGTTGTTGTTTGTTTTGGTCCCTCAACTGTCCCTGTTCGCTGCAACCTCAGTACCTTTGAACAGGCTGTTTGTCCTAATGGGACAAGTCTCACTCCTTAGAGACCCTTCCTTGCTGTCCCTCTTTGTCCTGTGCTGTAGTAATGCCATGTACTCCAGGGAAACTTTTTTTCCCAGAATAGTTGATCAGCAAATGTGTTCGTGACCAGGTGACTGTCTTTTTCTTACTGGACTGTAAGCATCATGACAACAACCAGACAGCCGGATACACAGCAGATATCTGTGAATATTTGTTGACTGAATAAAGGCGGTATTTTAAAATTTAGAAAAGCAGACATCCATGCTTGCATTCTAAACCCAAGTCCTGCATTGCATCTGAATTGCAATCAATTCAGCAAATATTTATTCATCCCTGTAGTATGCCAAATATTGGTCGAGAGAAGAGAATTTGGTAGTGAACTCGTAGGCAAAACTTTCCTGTGTGTGGTGATGGTTCTTGTTTTTCGGTTCTGGGAATTGAACTCAGGGTTTCACACTCTAGATTGACTTTTTTTTTTTTTTTTTTTTTTTGCTGAAGACCACTTCAACTATGCTTCTCCTTTTTGCTTTTTGTTGCTTAATTGGAGATAAGTTTCTCAGATTTGCCTACCTAGGTTGACGTAGTACCTGGATTCTCAGATCTCAGTCTCCTGAGTAGCTAGGATTACAAGTATGAGCCACTAAGCTCCCACCTCTAGGAGGAGGTTTTAAATAAACAGTTAGTATTGAATAGTGAGAAGAGCTTAGGGTAAGAGATAGATAGTGACACCTCAGGTCCAGGAACCTTGTTGGGGTGTACAGGTAGGGAGAGGAGAGCATTGGTATCCAGCTTTGTCCTGGGACAGTACTGGTTTATGTTCATTTGTTTAAAGTGGCCTGGTTTGGGTAATATATGGTTACCTGAGTTCTAGGGAGACTTTATTTGGGGTTATTGTTTTCTTATTTTCTTTCTTTTTTTTTTTGTGCCAGTACTGGGGCTTGAACTTGGCAAGGGCACTGCCTAGTTCTCTACTGCTTGAGCCACAGATCCACTTCTGGCTTCTAACTGTTAAACTGGAAATAAAGGGTTTCATGGACTTTCCTATCCAGGCTGGGTTCAAATGGTGGTGATTCTCAGATCTCAGCCTCTTGAGTAACTAGGATTGGTGGCATGAGCCACCAATGTCCTGCTAGGGAAGTTTTTCTTAGGAGGTGATATTTGAGCAGAAGCCACAACTCATACCCTTAAGTTACATGAAGGCCTTCAAGAACAAGGTGTGCACCAGGAAGAGCTTTGCAAGTTTGGGAACTAGAAAGAAGGCGCCCATCTAGCTAGAGTTGAGTAGTTCTTCCTCATGGAGTTTGAGGAGTTTTACGTTGGGAGTTCTGTGCTTTGAGACCAGACACAACCAAAAGCCATGGAATTCATTGAGCAGACCAAAGAGATGAATGGGCCCAGAAAGTGAAAATGTTCACTCACTCAGTTTCCTAAGAGAATTATAGGCGTGTAGGTAACATGCAATGAATTTCATGTGTTTAAAATGCAAGCTGGTTACAGGTGGCATCTGCCTGTAAGCCTAGCTACTTGAGAGGCTGAGATCTGAGGATTGCTGTTGGGAGCCAGCAATTACCTACCAAAAAGAAGTGGAGCTGTGTCTCAAGTGATAGGTAAAGCACTACTAGCTTTGAGCAAAAAAGCTAAGGGAAGTCAGGTCCTGGTGGCTGAGATCTGAGGATCACAGTTCAAACCAGCCCAGGCAGGAAAGTCCATGAGACTCTTATCTCCAGTAAACCACCAGAAAACCGGAAGTGGTGCGGTAGCTCAAGTGGTAGAGCGCTCGCCTTGAGCTGAAGAGCTGAGGGACAGCGCCCAGGCCAAGTTCAAGCCCCACAACAGACCATCCCCCCCAAAAAAAAGAAAGTTAAGGGAACAGCACCCAGGCTCCAAGATCAAGTCCCAGTACTGGCACAAAAACAAAGAACCCTAGCCGCTCCCTTGTATTATAATAGGCTATCAGACTCTTCTGGTTATTTTGAACACGCAAGACTTCCTTATCAACACTTTGTAAATTTTTTTCATTTTAAGGTTCCCCCTTATACTGAATGCGGAAATATGGAAAATGATGTCAAGGTTCTCAAAAGGAATGTTCTCATTCACATCTGCCCTTGTCTTTGAAAGCCAGGTAAAGGGAAGAAAGGAGGAGGCAAGTCTCGCGGGAAGAAGCAGAAGAAGCCTGAGGTGGACATCCTCAGCCCGGCAGCCATGCTGAACCTCCACTACATTGCCCACAATGTGGCTGACTGCCTTTACCTGCGGGGCTTCTCCTGGCCAGGCGCACCCAAAGGGAAAAAAGGCAAAAACAAGACTTAAGCGATGGAATTTGAGAGTATCTTATTACAGAACATCAGTGAGAGAAATCAGGAGAACACAGTGACTGCAGACAAAATAGACTTTACCAGAGACACCAAAAAATGCGTGATCTGTGTACTCTGTGGTAAATGATGGTAAATGTGTTTCACTTCCTTGGCTAAACTGGCTGTGGTTAGCCACTTTGGTTTTTCAGAACACTTAAGGGAGGGAAAAACCTGAGTGATTCTTACAACAGTGTGGTAGAATTGATAGAGCTTTAAAACATAATTCTGGACCAGAATTAAACCTTGCTCTCAAAAGGAAATTCCACTTTGCATGACATGTCTTCTTTCACAAAAAGGTATTTGTTATTTATGGAAAACTCTGGAAAAAAAGCCCATGCTTACTTATAAATATCTTTCTCCTAGGCATTGTTTTCTCGCTTTTTTTTCCTACTACCAGAACATGAACGCAGGACCTCAAGCTCTCTTAGTTTTCTTCTTTTTTGTTCTTATTAAGAAGTTGTACAAAGGGGTTATAATTCTGTAAGTCAGGTTATGAATATATAGACAGTACTTCTTAGACAGTATTTATGAATACCTAGACACTACTTCTTTTTTATTTATTTTTTTATTTATTGTGAAAATACTGTACAGAGGGGTTACAATTACATGGGCAAGATAATGAGTACATTTCTTATCAAGCATTGTAGCCTCCTCCT